GGGTCCAGATCCAAGGCGATCTGGAATAAAGTAATCATCCAGTAATAAGAAAAAGGGAGAGGAGAAGAATTAAAAGGATATGAAGAGCCAGTAGAACCATAGTTACACTATGGAACACTTCTTAGGCATGCTAATAAAAGGAAATTCCTTCTAGTGACAAAAAATGAAGATAAGTCCAGCAGTTTAAAGTTTCGAAGGTAGACCAAAAATGAGTATCTAAATATTTGTGGTATAAAATTACCAAAAATATGTAACACAATAAAACTTTTAATAATAAATTAACCTTTCTTCAGCTTAAGAACAAAACTGACTACAGAATATTTTGAGATACAGGTTTGACACCTCACTAAAAGAAAAAAGATGAGCAAATTGAAAATCAACAATTCTTCTTTCCATCAAAGAATGTGGTAATAGGGTGAACTGCCTCTAAAACTGGAGAGACAGATAGACAGGCAGAAACAGAATCAAAGCTTAGCAGGAGTAGAAGCCTGAGCTGTAGGCAGTATCTTTAGGAATGCTAGAGACTACAACTGGTGAATTGCCAGAGGCTGAAGGTAGACTAGAACTCTGAGGTGCCCAGTCTTAGGGGAGCCCTCACATTTCCTTCAGTTTTACCTTAGGAGTTCTACCATGTTCTTCTGTGAAAACCAGAGAAAAATTCCCTCCTACTTTTGGGAGGGAGAGTAGTAAAGTAACCATTTTCAAATATACTAGGAGTTCTCTACTCTTAACAAGGCCTGTCCTCAAAGGGGACAATCATACCAGAAACTAAACAAAGCTCAAGCAACTGGCTGAGGGGAATGCTCACTAAAACCTGACAGTTAATCATGATACTAAAAAACGTTTCCTTACCACCACACATCAGTGGGGATTAACGTCAAGAACTTCAAGCCCTCGGCACTATTAAGGAACTTCTATGGAAACCCAAAAACAATAGGGTAGGCAAAAGCTAGGTCACAGAGGAAATTTCAGGCTCTAACACCACAGTAAATGCAGCCTGTTAGCCAGATAAACATAAAACCTCGTACTAAATTCCTATCTAACTCAGTTCCTTTTAACTGATACATCATGTCTTACTTTCAACAAAAAATTGTAAGGTATGTGAAAAGCAAAAAACACATTCTGAAGAGAAAAAGCAAGCATCAGAATCAGACTCAGTTATGGGAGACATGTTGACATTATCAGGTGAGAAATTTAAAATGATTGTGCTTAATATGTAGGCTCTAATTTTAAAACATGGATAATATGCAAGGCAGATAAGTAATGTAAGCACAGAGAGGAAAATACCAAGGAAAGAGTCAAGTAGAAATGCTAAAAATAAAAAACTATAACAGAAATGAAAAGTACCTTTTATCAAGCTCAACACAGACTACATACTGCTGAGGTAAGGATCAGAGAACTTGAAAAGAGATCAGTAGGCACTTCTAAAACCTAAATGCAAAGAGAAAAAAAGAACAGAATATCCAAAAAAAACCTGTGGGACAGTAACAAAAGGTATTAATATGAGTAATAGGAATACCAGAAGAAAAAGAAAGAAGGAACTGGAAATATTTGAAGTAATAATGACAAAATTTTCTAAAATTAATGAAAAAGGCCAAATCACAGATCCAGGAAAGTTAGAAACAGTAGGCAGGATGGATGTGAAAAAATTTACACCTAAGCGTATATTATTCAAACTAAAGAAAATCAAAGACAAACTCTTGAAAGAAGCCTGGAAGAAAGAGGTAGAACAACTTACTTATACAGGAGCAAATTTAAGAGTAACATTTTATTTATTTATTTTATTATTCATATGTGCATACAAAGCTTGGGTCATTCCCCCCCCCCACAACCACCCCCTCCCTTACCACCCACTCCGCCCCCTCCCTTTCCCCCCTACCCCCTCAATACCCAGCAGAAACTATTTTGCCCTTATTTCTAATTTTGTTGTAGAGAGAGTATAAGCCATAATAGGAAGGAACAAGGGTTTTTGCTAGTTGAGATAAGGATAGCTATACAGGGAGTTGACTCACATTAATTTCGTGTGCGTGTGTGTTACCTTCTAGGTTAAAAGAATAACATTTTGACTTCTCTTCAGAAATCAAGCAGGCAAGAGAGTGAAGTGAAATAGTTTAAGCACTGAAAGAAAAAACCTACTAACCTAGAATTCTGTGTCCTGTGAAGTTATCTTTTTAAAAGGGAAAGAGAAATGACTTTCCAAGGCAAACAAAAATTAAAGGAACTTGTTTTAAGTAGACCTATAGCCTTGCAAGAAATGATAGAAGAAGTCCTTCAGAAAGAAGAAAAAATATATAGGTTAGAAACTCAGGTTTACAAAAAGGAAGGAAGAGCATTATGGAATGAATAAATGAATGTAAATACTTTATTTTTCTTATTCCTAGTTGATCTAACAGATAATGGCTTGTTCAAAATAATAACAGCAACAATGCATTCAGTAATTACAGTTTGTGGGTTGTGAAGTGAATGGCAGCAATGCGATGAGAAGGGAGTTGTCCATGCTGTCACAAAGCACTTGCACTGCCCATGAAGAGCACCCATAGTGCTACTTTAAGTGGGTTTTTATTCATTGTAATGTATATTGAAGACTGGAGAATTCCAGTATAATTAATATGCTGGGGGAGGAGAAACAATGGAGGCACATGAAATTCTTAATTAAAACCAGAGAAGGTAGAACAAAAATGGAAGAAAAACAAAACAAAAAACAAACAGCAAAAATGAGAGAGCAAGGGGAATAAATGAAAGCCAGTCACAAACTTTGTAAGGTTTAGGGATAGTACGGGAGTGCAGGGAACCAGAGGGTCACAGTGACTCTTTGAAAAGTGGCACTTTCCCCATTTAAAATGTTTAACTCCTTCCAGGTGATGCACACCTCTGGACAGGAGGAGGTTGAATCCGAGGACAGCCTGGACTACAAAATGAGATCCTGTCTCAAAGACAAAACAAAACATAAAACATCTAACTTCGTAGAAATGGAATTTTCGACTTTGAAAATACCTTCTATGATGTGTAAGACTGATTTCCATTGTTTTCCATCTGGTAATTGGGGTCACAGTCCTTGGGTCTCTCCATTATAAGACCCCTAGACAACCTTTGGAGGTCATTTCTTACACATTCTCCTTTGTCTCCAGGAACAAGTAGAGGAAGATACACGTTTTCATTCTCTTTTTTTCATAAATATCGCTCCAGTTAATGAGAGGGCTTTTACTTTTCTTGGTACACTAACAGTTTGTCTAAATAATGGCCAGAGGAACACTTGCCTGACAATCACCTGGGTACCTGGTAAAGATGAAGATTCCTGGCTCCTGCCCAGGAACTACTGAACGGACTCTCAGGGCCGGCCTCAAGAGCATGCATTGCTAACCAATGTCCTGCCTTAAGTTTATGCGCACTAATGTGTGATAACCACTGCTTCAATACACTTCCTTCACAGTTGGGGATGGCTGTGGAAGGCTTTTCCCTTTATGTTTTGGGTCAATTTATTGCCAGAAGTATTCACATTCCTTCATCACCTCTTGAATACATGTGCTAGCCAAGTATAATAAATGATCAAGGAATATTTGTTGAAAGATTACCCGAGGGGCATATCTTATACTCCCTTAGGGACTGTGGTAAGCAAAACATTTTGATTCTTTTCTAAGCTAGATAGTAGTCATTTTATTCTAAAGTAATGCAGACCATCAAAAAGTCAATCACTTGAACTTTTCATGTCAGTTAAGTGTGATTTAAATAATTCCTGCAAAAGAAAAATAAATGGAGGAAATATAAGCATTATAGAAAATATAAATCTAAAATAATGATAAAAACTTAACAAGAGTTGTCATAGGATCAAAAAAGTAGTATCCTAAATATTGGTATCCCATAAGTTTGGCCTAAGGGGATAGGGGAACTAGCAGAGGGGGTTGTGTCTAGGGAAAACTAAAAAAAAAGAAAAAAAGGGGGGAAAAAATGAACAGCTAAAAACAGCAAGGCCTACTCTTCAAGCCCTCCCAAGAACCAGAAAACTAAGAATTCTGAGAAATCAAAAACTAATCTGCAAGACAAAAGATGAGGGAGGGGGACTTTTAAATGATTACTTCAAGTAACTGGTCAATGGGTTACGCATATATTACTTTACACTACCAGACTATTTCATAAAGCCCTTGTTAAAATCTAACATTAGCATACAATCAAAATTTGCATATAATCGAAACAATATAAATACATTAATATCTGTATGGGAGAATGATCATAGCTTGACTTTTGTTTCCTTCTTATATTTCCAGCTTAAAAAAATTTAGGGCATATTCCTTGTGGAAAAGAAGGATTGATGAGGAGTAAATAGAAGCAAGAAATGATGCCTCTCCAGAGGTATTGCTTCTCAGAAGAGAATGCCTTTCAAAAAGAAGACAAGACACTCCTACCCATTGATTTGTTTGTGGGCATGGATGTGGTGTGTGAACATATGTGTGCATGAGGTTTATGTGTGTGCATGTGCACATAGGCACTAGTGTTTATGTTAAAGAGATGTGGTGGGACTGACCAACTCTCAGACTGGGACTTACCTTGTACCTATCTGAAGCAGGATGTGAACACTGGTGTGAATGCTGTCACTCTAGGAAAGAAGTGAAATGTTAGTCTGTCCTTGGCAGAGAAGAGAAACCAGAGAACACAGAGAGGTAGAACACACATAGACACACTAACAGTCTCTAATTTTGGGGGTCTCTATATAGAGTCAGTCTCTCTATATTCCGGATGGCCAGTTAGAAGAAGAAAGAAGGAAGGACTAAAGATGGACTATCATTAGAAACCTACTCTGGCCGGGTGCTGGTGGCTCACACCTGTAATCTAGTTATTCAGGAGGCAAAGAACAGGAGAATTGTGGTTTGAAGCCAACCCAGGCAAATAATTCGTGAGACCCTATCTTGACAAAAACTGATTACAGAAAAGGGCTGGTGCAGTAGCTCAAGGTGTAGGCCCTGAGTTCAAACCCCTGTACCACAAAAAGAAAGAAGGAAACTCACTCTGGAAGGTATAGATAGACATATTCTTCTTCAACAACATATTTGAACCAGTAGACTTAAATAAATTTGTGAAAGATGCTGTGCCTGCACAAAGATAAGAGAAATAAGAAAAGCAAGGAAAAAATCATTGGCAGAGTCCTCTAAAATTAATCTGTGATAGATGATAACAAAAGAACTCTTGTCCACAAAAAGCAAAAGTTACCAGTAAACATCTTTTTCTCCAGTTCTTCTTGGATCTTAAGAAGAATTCTCTCCTGTTCTAAGGCTTCTATATACTTGGAGTAGCACCAGGTTGGCTAGGAAAAGAATTTCATAGTTAATTCTGGAAAGTTTTGCCTCAGGAAATGAACTGAAGGTAAAATCACTTATAGACCTTTCATCTAAATGTTTTATTTGCATATATATAAAGAAAATTCCATCTATCAAAAATCTACAGTGATATGGATTTTCACAAACTGAATTTACCCATTTAACCCTTTAACTGAGTACCATAAATTATTATCAATCTACCTATCCACTTTCATAAGAATGTTTATGATGAAGTAAAGGTACTTTTTTCTATAGCCTTGACTTAAATTTGTAAATTCCCTGTTTGGGTGGGGAAAGAGGGGATGTGAGGATGTTGATACTATCGTTCAGTGAATTGTTGTCACAAAAGCTTTGTAGGTATCTTGACAATTACTCAGTCACCTTTATGTACTCAATTTGGTTATGAATTTACATACTTATAAAAGATTAAAGATTTCTTGGGGGGGAGGATAATTTTGCATTTGGATCAATTACAATTTTTAGTTTGCAAAATCTATCTGAAACAAATGCATAATAAGGCACCCACATTTGCAGATGGTAGTATGTTACAAATTGCTAGAGTGATTCATCATGTGTACTTTAAATAGCAACTATAAATAATGACTATAATAAATATAAAATTTCATTGGTTCTAAAATCTTTTTAGTTGCCCATAAAAATCTTGAGCTTTCTGACAGGTCATGTAATCGTCATTGTCATCATTGTTGTCGTCATCGTCTCCCTTTCTTTTTAACAGGTAAAGAAGCAGGCTCAAAGGAGACTGTGGTAATACTGATCGATAACGACAGAGTAAAAATCAGAAGCTGAGTTCTCTATGTCCTCATTTCCTTGTTTATTTTTATACTGTGCTTTTGAAATTTAATGCTAATCATTTGCTGATGAATATATTTATGAATGTCTTACTGGGTATCATACACTTTCCACAAAATTGGGTATTTGTCTTCCCTCAATAATAGCTTTAAATCTATCAAGTTATCTTGGCTGGTGACTAAACTTATTTGACATTCCTAAATGCCAAAAGATAATTTCTTGAATTAGTATTATTCTAGGATACGAACATTTTCAATACAAGTCACCAAAAATAGACATAAATTAAACTCATGAAATTTCAGGGAGGTGATACTAGTGTGATGGGCTATAAATGTAAATGTAAGTATAAAAACTATAAATGTATTAGTTGGTGGTCATATATTAACTAATTTTATGCCCACTTTAAATAATTAAGAAATTGAGACTAAGCATTTGAATTTGTCATCTCTTAACACAAGAACACAACAACCTACATATATTCTATCTTGTTCTGTTATAGTTGTCGTACGCTCTTTTTAAGTAAGATTGTCATTTCAACATCTGCAACTTAAATCTTCATGTGTCAAGAAGTTATTTTCCTTGATTATATTATCCACAATCAGCTGAAATTTTAATGTTCTCTGAAGGCTCAAGGACGTTTCCTTACAAACTCTCCTAGTATTAAAATTTTAGGCCCGTTTTCAAACAAACACACCTCTCATGCTGTCCAATGACAGAGCCACTTGTGTACCACTACCCGAGCTCTAGAGAGGAAGTGAGACCTGAGACCTCTTGGCAGCTTACCTGCCGGCCATATGCTTGCAGGCCTAGGTAGGATTCACTGGCTAAAGGAGGTTTTGTAGCAGACCCTGTAACACTTGCATATGGTTTGAGTCCAATCTGTAATTAAATTAAATTGTTACTATACTAATATAAACTTACAGTTAGGAAGTCATAACATTATATGGAAAAAATACTCCATAGTCAGTGCTACATTTGAGGTTTCATTAAGTCCCTTTCACTTTGATCTTTAATTTTCTTTCATACTAATATAAAAACATTTAAAACTAAATGAGATAAATGATGAAGTTGAATGTAAAAATCACTCCCACATTCTAGCATCCAAGAAAAACCACTGTAAACATTTCATGAACACACATCCAGACTTCTCATTAGGGAAATGAATAGCTATTTCATTATAATCTGTAATTTTAATATTTATACTTTATTGTATAAATTTTATACAAATGAAATCAAACTATATGTGCTGTTTTAAGATCTGCTTTTTTCACTCAGAAATGCAACAATCTTTCCATGTGTGAAAATAGAGAGCTGGAACGTAAGTTGGGTATTTATTTTATTCACCACTATATTTTTATTTGTAAAACAGTGTCTATCACAAACAATGCACTTAAATATTTATTGGCTGATGAAATTAATAAATTACATTGCCGTTTTCAATGGCTGGAAGGTCTTATCCACTCAAATATTTATTGAACAATGAAATGAATGTTATATCATCATTCTCAAAGGTGAGTAAAGAGGTACACCTAATACCACTGATAGATCCTTAGGTCATTTCCAACTTTGAACTATTTTTTCTTTTTTTTTTTTTTGGCGGCACTGGGGTTTGAACTCAGGGCCTCACACTTGTTAGGCAGGCACTCTACCATTCGAGTCACTCTACCAGACCAGACTTTTTTGTATTTGGGTGTTTTCGAGATGGGGTCTCATGAGCTATTTTGCCCAGGCTGCCCTCAAACTGCAATCCTCCTGATCTCTGCCTCCCAAGATTACAGGTGTGAGCCATAGGCCTTTGGTGCCAACTCTGAACTATTACAAATGATGCTGTATTTATATACCTTTGTGTATTTTTATGATTCTCCTTTACAATAAATTTCTGAAAGTGTTTTTGCTGATTTAAAAAGAAGAACATATATTTAGACAATATATGTTATCAAACTGCCCTTCCAAAAGAAAGTACCAGTTTATGCTTTCTCTAATAGTATTTGAGTTTGTACATCTGTCCCTCACACATTCAACCAATACTGGGCATTGCCAAGCTTTCTTCTTTGCCAGTCTTTCATGTCTTTGCTTACCAGCAAGATTAAACATCATTTTTTTGGCAGTGCTGTGGTTTGAACTCAGGGCCTGGTGCTTGCTAGGCAGGCGCTCTACCACCTGAGCCATCCACTTTTTGCATTAGTTATTTTCCAAATAGGGTCTCATGGTTTTAATTTTTGCCCTTGCTGGCCTGGACCTCGATCTGCCTGTTTATATCTCTTGCACAACTGGGATGACAAGCACATATCACCACATTCAATTTATTGAACTGTGATCCTCCTTGAATAGTGATCCTCCCAATCTCCATCTCCCAAATAGCTGGGATTACAGGTGTGAGCCACCACACCCAGCCTAAACATCTTTTGATGTTTTTACTCATTTGTATTTTTTTTATGAATTGCTTGTTAATGCTCTTTGCCCAAATTTGTGTTAAGAGTATATATCTTCTGTCTGATTTATTCTTACAATTTACATCATGCATTTATTTATTTTTATAACTTACATCATATATTATGTTTCCCAATTATTCTTCTAGTCTTATTTTCTTCTAGTCTTATTTATTTTTTCCATGTAAGTTTCAAATTTTTATGCAGTTAAATCACAGTGATCCTTTGCTAATTAATAAATTTTATACTTCATTTTAAGTACTTGATATTAAACTAGCTGAAACTTTTTCATTGGATTCTCTTTCTCCTATCATAACTTTCTCCAGAATATCCAACTTAATGGAATGTACATTCGACCTTAATATTTTGTAATAAAGGATAAGAAGGGCATGGTGGTGCATGCCTATAAATCTAGCACTTGGGAGTCTAAGGCAGGAGGATTGTGAGAGTTTGAGGCCAACCTGGGCTATGCAGTGAGACCCTATTGTAAAAAAAGTTTAAAAAAAGAAAGACAATTATTGCTAGTGTTAATATAACTTACATTTACTTCATGACATGCACTGTGTTTCACATGTCTTTTTTAATCCTACTCCATGATGTAAACTTTATTACACACATATGCCACACCCTGGCATGGTGGCATGTGCCTGTCATCCCAGCTAGGTAGGGAAGCGTAAATAGGAGGATCATGGTTCAGAATGGGCTCTGGGAATAAAGTGAGACCCTATCTCAAAAATAACCAGTGCAAAAAGGGCCGGGAACATGGATCAACTGGTAGAGTGACTGCCCAACAAGCACAGGCTCTGAGTTCAAACCCTAGTACTGCCCATCCCACCAAAAACTTTTACCCACTATGCTATACTGTCTCAAGTGACAAATAACACCTCACAATTTACAGTGCAATAGCTTACATAGGGTCTTTTATGCACACCGTACCAATTAATCCCCTTCAAATTATATGAGATTAATATTATCACTATCAATTGATAGATGAAATTGAGGTCCAGAGTTGAGTCACATCCACAGTTACCTAAAGTCCCATGCTTTGCAAAGTAACAGATTTTTTCAGAGCATACATTTTTTTATGTTCCAAAAAAATCATAGTGTTGCTTTATTCATTTTTCCAGCATTTACTCATTAAAACAATTATCTGCTACTACATTAGTCTTCCTTACATTTTCCACATTAAAATAAATGTAAATGTAAAATTTGCTGTTACTAGTACATGATAACATTATGTTTTTTGTATATACTAAGTGTACACTAAGAGTAGCTGGGTGTAGTAGTGTATACCTGTAGTCCTAGCTATTTGGAGACTGAGGCAAGAGGATCACTTAAGTTTATGAGTCTGAGATCAGCCTGGGCAACATGGTTAAGACTCTATTTCAAAAATAAAAAAAGAAAAAGAGTAGCTTGGCATAGTGGTGCAAGCCTATAATCCCAGCACTTGGAAGGCTAAGGCAAAAGGATTTACAGTTCAATGCCAGCCTGGGCTATACAGTGAGACACAGTCTCAAAAAACAAAAACAACAACAAAGAATATTTAAAACATTCAAAAGTGGAATTTCTTTCTTTTTTTCTTTTCTTTCTTTTTTTTTTTTTAGGATTAGTCACCCTACAAAAGAGTTACTTTCCAATTGTCAATATTTGTTTATACCTTACCAGCTAAGAGCTATGGACCAACAAGAAGACATCAATTATTATCATGTTAGGTCTAGAGTCCACATATGAGTGAAGGAGAGGGTACTGGAGGGTGTATAGGATTAAAGTACATTACATATACAATAAATATTAGTTGAAAAAGGGGCAGCACAAAAGGAAGCTTAGGAGAATAATATGGGGGGGAACTTGTTCAAAGTACACTGTATGCATCTATGGAAACATCACAATGAAACCCCCTGTATAATTAATATATGCTAATAAAAACAGAGAACATCAGTTAAGAACATTTGCATTTACATTCCTAAGTACAATATGATGTAAACATACATCCTGGATTTTCTGTAGAAATGGAGGCAGTCTAGCCAATTGGTGATTTGCATTTACAAATTTCAGTCAGTAATTTTAAATATGCCATGCCAAGTACACAAGTTCATTCATTCATTCATTTCCTGATTTACTCAACAAGCAATGATTAACAATTGAGCACATGCTGAACACTAGTGTAAATGCTTATAAAGCATGGATGAATAAGGCAGATACTGTCTTTGAAGATCTCCATCCAGCAAGCATGGCAGATGTCAAACTTGGTCATAGGAAAATAAGCAGTGGATGACTGCTGTGGATGTAAATGATGCTGCCTAGGGGAACTAAGAAAGCCTTCACCTGGAAGACATGGTATTTGAATTCTAACAGGTACTTAGAAACTGCTTTTTTTTTTTTTTTTTTTTTTTTGGTGGTACTATGTGTTCAAATCAGGGCTTGCTAGGAAGATGTTCTACCACTTGAGTCACTTTGTCAGTCCAGAGTGACTCAATGCTTTTTCAAAAAAGCATTTGGGTATATAAGGTACTAAAAGCAAGATATAAGCCTGGCTGGCATCTATACCTTCAGTTTGTATCTGTCTCCTTTACTTTGGGTCAGACTCTTGCTTAACCCTGTGCATACGAATGTTAATTATTCATGGAGTACCTATCTACAACCTGGTGCCACCTAACCTGGCTCATCTCCCTTTAAGACTGAAGACACAAAGAGTAACTAAAGTATCTTACTGCCAGCTTTTACAATGTTCTGTTCCAGACCCCTGAAAAGGCACCTGCAGAAGCCTCTAATCATTGTCTTAAGCCTGCAGGCACTTTGGATTCCAGGTACAGTAGAGCTTTGCAGACAAATCACCTATGATGAGATCACTTCCAAACAGGAACAATCATCCCAAGCAATGAGGCCTTCTGGCCAGAACCCAGATACAACCAGACCACAGTTTGACTAAGACTGCTTAGTTATATGTACCTCTCACTCCTTGCCCCAACTCTTCCTATATTTAAGCCTAAAGTTCATGTTAGTACCCTCCAAAATGGGATGAAATGCTTAATTTCTATCTTCCCAAAACAGCCCAATTGACTCTCTTTTCACTGTTACTTTCATCTACTTTCTTTGGGGTGAGTGACCAGATTTGACATGTTGGAGCCCCACACAGTCTGGCCTATGGTCTTAGACTTTTGTTACAAAATGAATTTTGAAGAACTTAAAAACATGTCTGAAACCTCTGAATGATGCTTAAAACTCACTAAAATCTGTATTACTTAACTCCACTGTATATTTTCTCAGCCCAAACTCTTCGACAAATTCACATACATAACTACCTTTTGAAAGTGTGATTACAACCAAAATGAGTCATCTTACCTTTCCAGACTTGTCATCATCTGTGACTGATGGTTTCTTTTTCTGCTTATATTCTTGTCTTCTCTCTAAAACACTCATAATTTTTTCATCAGTTAAATTCTTCCTAAATTCACAAAACTGTGGCCAAAATTTAAATAGAACCCCAAAAATTGTCATCTGGATTAAAAAAAAGTCTCAGATTACAATTCTATACAAATGTACCCATTTAAACACTAATTTACCATAATAATGGATTAACTATTCTATCTTTAATACACACCATGTTTCCTTCTACTTATTGTCTCCAGACTTCTTAGTACAGTTTAGCTCAGCACATGCTTATCATCAATGTTTTTTATTACCAACGAGAAGTTTTTCTTTAAAAAAATACCCACACACACCAAATACCCTTAAAAGTCACTTCATTCTTTATGTTTCCCTAACCAATTGATTGTATTAATAAAGAATCCATTAGGTCTTTTTAAATAAGAAAGTTATGTTTTCTTTTAAAACATATACTAGTTGATGTGCCACACACTCTGCGTTTAATGCAAGAATTCCAAGTATTGGGTTCATCAAGAGAAACTCCCCCACCCCCTTTTCTTTCTTTTAGAGAAAGGAAATACCATTTTGCCTCTGGAAAAGCTCTTAAACAAAGCTGCAGATCTAAGAATAAATCTTGAGTAACTTTTAAATGATATAATCTCTCTTTTATGTGAGAGCAAGAAAAGTAGCATTTAAAAAGCAGACTGGTATCCTAGATAAATGTTGTCTATGAAGACCCTTTACATTAAATGATTAATTATGATATTTACAGAGATAAGAATACTTGCTGTAATTCCCATGCCAACTTCTTCCATTAGTTCCAGAGGCATACATTACTTCCAAGAAGTAAGACTTGTCACATCAGATCAAGTCCAGCATAAAGGAACAGCCTTTACCTAATGCCTTAAAGAAAAACTAACCATCCCATTAGGCTCCAAGCCAATTCTTTGGGGAAAAGCAGAATGCTTTTTTTTAAAAAAGGTAAATGCTGCAGTGATCCAGAGTCCTGAACTGGCATATTTCATTATTCTTCTTTTCCATACATGAATGTTGTTAGAAGTATTCATTCCTTTTAAATTACAGTTTTGTTATTGAATTCTACAGCTTTTTGGGAGTGTGAAATCTAGAGGCACTTTATTTGATGACATGTAAGACTGTAAGAAATTTTCTTTTACATTTACCTGCCATTTATTTAATTAATCTCTATTTCCAATTTAAGGGAACACAGAAGTTACAATGAGCTCATTAAGCTCTTAAGCTTAAATATCCTCCTTCTCTATTTACCAACTAGTGACCCTACTTGTCAATTTTCTCTCCAAAACCTGAAGTCATTCCAGCCCTCAAATATAACTATTTCCATGAAGCAGGTATCCTATTAAAAGTTAACTCAATTTGAACACAATTTTTCAATGGAAAGCATAAAATGCTATATTCCCAAAAGTTGCAATTAAAATTTTAGGTTAATATCTATCATTAATAAACATTACCTATACTTCTAGAACTTTAAAGGATAACCAAATTGTAGGTTAAGAAAATACTTTAATAAATATAGGACTACTTTGCTTACTGCCAGCAGATGAGTGATGGTTTTAATGAGTAAAGAGTTCGGTGAAATTTTGGCTGAATTGATGAAATTTTCAGGCTCTTGGCAGTGGGTGTGGGAGATAGGCAGAGACTACAAGTCTAAAACAGCAATTTTTAAATTTACTATTCAGCTCTTTTATTCAATTTTGTTTTCGTTTCCAATTTGATTTTATTCATTTCTGTCATGACAAATCTCTCACATCATTTGGACCACGTGGTCCAAAAATACCTACTCATCACCAGACCTCTGGGTCACAAAGATAAACTTTTTGCCTGCCCTCAAAAAGTTTATAACCTAATGGAAAGTCAGACATGAGACTTAGTCAACTTAATGTGATAAGTCTTGTAACAAGGACAAACACAAGGAAGAGGAGATGATACTGCATAAAGCTCAGAAGGGAAAACAGGACACTTTGTGGAACTACAGATATTTCAGTAAGACTAGGGGAGAGACAGCAGTGAGTGCTAAGAGATGTAGCTAGATAGGTGTGTAGGAATACGGACTTCGTTCTGAGGGCAGTGGGGAGTCCAAATCTTTGTAAGCAGAGAAATATCAGATACACATTTTGAAAAAGTTTGTCTGTGTGCAGTTGAGTTGGTTTTTAGAGAACCCAAAGGCAGGGAGTTTTGGTAATGGATGATGTAACAAGGAGACAAACAGATAATGTTTTAGGGACTGGTTAGATGTGGGCATAAGAGGATGAAGGAGAGGGAAGACATGAAGATTGGCAACCAGATCTCTGGCTTACACACCTGGGTAGGATGGGTGTCATTTTCTGAGCTTCCTTTAGGGAAACAGGGAGAATAACAGATTTGGAGGAATGAGATCCCCACATAAAGATTCTGTAATTTCATATGTTTCAAAGTCTATATTTAAGCCATATCTATGATTCCACTTTAGGAAAGCAGGTAGAAGTCACAGGCTAGAGGACACAAATGAAGCTCATTGGCTACCGTCCCTGAAGAGTGTGCTAGAACCAACCAATTTCAACAGTGCAGGACCAAGGTCTTTGACTTCGATGGGCAAGTCCTGGTCTGGTTTATCAGTACTCAAGGCAAGGTTAAGTTATCTCTAAGATTTTTTCATTAACAGATGCTACATGGGTTATGTTTTCTCTATTTCTCTCTAGCACATCCTCAATCATTCCTCTGTATTTTGTCTGTTTAGTTTAGCTTTTGAGTCCACTTTCAGTTCCTTAGAGGATTTGGAACACAGCTGGCTTACAAATGAATGTTGAGGAGTAATGGCCTTTTTCCACGCTCAAGGGTAATCATACTCTCAATCTCTGTTTCATATCACTTAATTCATGACATGGCCTTCCCTATTACCCCTATTACAATTTATTTTTCTTAATCATTTTTTAGGAACAGCATCACTTAAAAGGCTTTTGAAAATGCATATAAAGTATGTTCACCAAGTCAATGTTTTCTATTATTTATCTTAAAAAGAAGTAACTTGAGCAGGTTAACAGGCATGATTTTCCTTTCATGAGTTTGTTTACTTTATGTTGGTTGGAGTACTTAAATCTCCTCTCACTTATTTTATGAGCTATGTGAATATTCCAATCTTTAAAAATATACAAATCTTAGGATATTTTACACATTTTTGTGGTAGCAGATATTTTAAAGGGAAATATGAATAGTGGGAAAGAAAGGAGGATAATTGGAAACAAAAATGGGAACCATGGAAAGTCAAAGTGTATTATTAAAATTTACTTTCTGTATATTATCCTCAAGAAAAATAGCATCTAAGTTACTAGCTTTTCATATTTTGTGGCATATACCAAGGTTATTTAAATGAAATAGAATAAATTCCAGTATTGGGAGGATTAAAATTTTGCTAAATATGAATAATGTAAAAGCTTTAAAAGAATATCTTGATTATCAGTCTATGTTGAAATACGATTAGCCACATTTCCTGATCTCTTACCTGTGCCTCTCTGAATACATATGGTCCTAACTCCTTCCTATGTTCGATAATCTTCTGGGCCTGCTCCACTGGAATGTCAATTTGTAAAGGTGGTGGAACACAGGAGTTAATGAAACAGTTGATGATAGTTGTGATCTTCTTTTGGATGACGGACTCATCACAATGGGAGTGGCACAAGTCCTCAACAAAGAGGAGAAAAGACGGGGCAGTATGTGACCAATGCATTACAACAACATTTCATACAGTTATATCCATATGTGTTCTAATATATGCATTTTAACGTTAGGTTAAGAGGTTACTGCCACATGTCAGGGCTCTCTTTAAAGATCATAGCTTTTCTTTCTAACTGGAAGCACCTGAAACTGGCATATATAGCTTACTTTCATTTAATCCTGATCACTTGTTTCCCCAGCCCAAGGAATAGAGTGGTACTGGGGCTTGAACTCAGGACCTTACACTTTCAAGGCAGGCACTCTACAGCTTGAGCCACTCCACCAGCCCTTTTTTGTGTTGAGTATTTTCGAGATAGAGTCTCACAAGCCATTTGCCCAGGGCTGGCTTCAAACTACAACCCTCCTGATCTCTGCCTGCTGAGTAGCTGTGACTACAGGTGTGAGCTCCTCGTGCCAGCGACTCTGACACACATAACACCTGTATATTAAGTGCCTGCTACTTGCCAGACACTGAGCTGAGCCTTCAGACACTGCCTCTACACTTGAAAGGCTCATTCCCTATGGAGGATAGCTATGACAGAGGTATACTCAGGGCTGCAGGAGAACACCAAGAACAGGCACCTAACTCAGGCTACTGGTAGTTGCAAATGCTTTCTCACTGGGCTCCTTCTATGAATAGCCAGCAACAAAAGTGGGCCTATTGGTGGTGAACAAGTCTGTCATTTTACTGTGTTTACTATCAATATTATTTCAGTTACCATATCACATTGCCATCTTTATAAAGAACTTAAAGTAATAACCAGGCATTAAAATGAGCCAGTTTTAAAGTAAAAAATGTAGGGCATCTTTTCTTTTTTCTTAAAAGGATAGATCAGCTTGAATTATAGCATTTTTATGTCAAAGACACTGTTTTCTTAATTAGTTGAAAGCAAACAAATTTGGAATCTTCTATTCTAGACCAGAAATGAGCTAACATTTAAGAACCCAGTGTGTCAGGTTACTCCAGAGGCACCTGCACACCCATGTTTATTGCAGCACTATTCACAATAGCCAAGTTATGGAAACAGCCAAGATGCCCCACTACTGACGAATGGATCAAGAAAATGTGGTATCTATACACAATGGAATTTTATGCAGCCATGAAGAAGAACGAAATGTTATCATTCGCTGGTAACTGGATGGAATTGGAGAACATCATTCTGAGTGAGGTTAGCCTGGCCCAAAAGACCAAAAACCATATGTTCTCCCTCATATGTGGACATTAGATCAAGGGCAAACACAACAAGGGGATTGGACTTTGAGCACATGATAAAAGTGAGAGCACACAAGGGAGGAGTGAGGATAGGTAAGACACCTAAAACATTAGATAGCATTTGTTGCCCTTAACACAGAGAGACTAAGGCAGATACCTTAAAAGCTACTGAGGCTAATAGGAAAAGGGGACCAGGAACTAGAGAAAAGGTTAGATCAAAAAGAATTAACCTAGAAGGTAACACCCACGCACAGGAAATTAATGTGAGTCAACTCCCTGTATAGCTATCCTTATCTCAACTAGCAAAAACCCTTGTTCCTTCCTATTATTGCTTATACTCTCTCTACAACAAAATTAGAGATAAGGGCAAAATAGTTTCTGCTGGGTATTGAGGGGGTGGGGGGGAGAGGGAGGGGGCGGAGTGGGTGGTAAGGGAGGGGGTGGGGGCAGGGGGAAGAAATGACCCAAGTATTGTATGCACATATGAATAATAAAACAATAAAAAAAAAGAACCCAGTGTGTGCCAGTCATTGCAATAGCTGTCACAGGGATTTTATTAAAGAAAAAATCAGGTACCAGCCGTATAAGACTTTATGTATAGTTCAGCATAAGTTATATGTGAAAAAGCTTAATTTAAATGTCACATTGTCAACAGCATTTCTGCTGAATTTAGTGTCACTTCACAAAAAGTCTATTTATGCTGTGTTTGATATGTCCCGAAGTATGCATTATTTGGCATCACTAGTAGGACTGTCATATGTAATTATTTGGTGAGCCTGGTTTATAATTATGGAATATCAGCTTATGAAATGAAAACATATTTGTGAAGTTATCTAGTATTAATTTTGAGTGAAGAGATAGAATTTGAGACAGAATTATAACTGATTTTTTTCTTAATTGTTCTACCCTATCTTGCCACCAGCATAGTTAATTCTTACCTATTATTAAGGTCTCACTTTAAGCATGTTTCCTTTTAATGAACTTTCTGGGCCTCCTTTAGAACAGAAGGACAGCCATTTTACCCACTTACTTCACATCCTGGACCATCCACTATGGCCCTCATCGTGCTCTTATGATTGCCTCCGTCTACCTCAGGGCTGCAGGAGAACACCAAGACCAGGTACCTGACTCAGACTACTAGTAGTTGCAAACGCTTTCTCATCTGTCCCTCCCTTGACTCTGTAAACTCTAACAGGGAAAACTGTTTTGGTCATTGTCATATCCTTGGGATTCAGCCTGGTCCAATAACTATTTGTTGGATGAATATATCCTTCCAATCTTTTCTCTATGGATACGCACACAAACACATATTTTGGATTAAATTATACTGTGTTCTAGTACCTAGTTTTAAATATATCAATGATATATTGGCTGCAGTATATGGTTGTGGAGATGTATCATAATTTAGTAACCAATGTCTTGTTGTACATCTGGTTATTTCTGATTTTTCACAATCCAGAACAATGCTTGAGCAAGATTATATCAGCCACCTCTTTTGTATGCTATCACACACATTAGGAGGAGGCAGACAGCTTAGCTTTGTGCTTAAGAACATGGGCTTAGCAATAGAATGACTTGGTTTAAATTCTAGCTCTATCATTTAATTAGCTTTGTAACATTGGGAGTTTCTTAATTTTTTTTGTGCTCTAGCATCTTTATCTGTAAAATGGTATGAATAAAACATCCTTGACTTCATAGCATTCTTATGAGGAATAAATTCATTATAACATGAAAAGCATTAAAATAATATCTGGCAGGTGGCAAACAGTAAGACCAAGTGTGTTCTTACACACTAGCTAGCTCAGTGAGACCTGGCCAGGTGGAATACCTTCCAAGTGGCAAGTTCCCTTAAGATCAAATGCAAGCATTGACACTTCTGCTGAGAATTCCCTGATCTACCATTTCTCCACCCCATCATTACCTCCTCTGTGCTAAAGCTTTATCTCTTAAAACATGGCTCAGAAACAACACTACTTCCTGATATTTGTTTCATGAATGTCTCCCTCCAGTGAGGAAGGGTGATACATTGTATTCACCTTTTTATTCCTACAATTCCTAGCATAATGCCCAGCAAGTGTGATAATATATGCTTCTTGGATGAGCAAATTTACTCCCATCGCATCATTTTTAATTTTATGGGATATTTTTAAATGTAATTGCCTAGTATTATAAGTCCGTCATACTATACTGCAGAAAAGACATTAAAATGGAAACCAAAGATAGTCACAAAGCTGAAAGTTGATGCTATTTTTTTTTAAGTACCTTTAAAATAAGGTTTATCTGATTCCCTCTTGCCTTCGCAAGGCAGGGTTGGACTATTCACATTCATATCACCTTAAAGATAGTTCTTCCCACTCATAAAAAAAATTCCTGTTGTGGGAAATAGACTCTACATACTTTCTAATTCTCAAAAAATTACTTCAATATTATTCTTGTGAAAGATTGTGAAAAAACTTCTTCAAATGTTTTTTCTGTTTAATCTAAGCTGAGAATAGTGAAAAATGGCTTGATAACAGAAAAAGGTAAAAATTTGTTTCACAGCATGTTGGAGAAAGCTTGGATGTTATTGAGCAACTACTGACCATTCACAGAAGAGCCATGTTGGTGTTGTGTAATGAACACTAAATTATAGGCCGACTGAAAGCACTGCACCCCTAACTTCTAGTTTATTTTTATTTTCCACTTTTACAATGAGATAGAACAGGCTGCTTCCAAGGAAATAAGGCTCCATTCCTATCCAGATGCTAGATCCGTCTTAGGTGTTTCTTGACAGCATAATGTGGAAAGTCCCTTTCTCTTCCTCAAGGCAAAGATTCTATATGGGTCAATTAAACACTTAAACCTGAAAACAAACTGCCTTTGCACCTAACCCACCACCCTTCTATTATTTTGTTAAGAATTTAGCCTTTTCATCTGTGTTGGTTTATCTATAAACCAGTATCTTTGATTACCGTTCCTGAAAATAGGTTGGGAAGATTTCTCGTAAAGAGGTCTTGGTTATATGGATTTACTAAATATGAGTGTCTTCAGGGGAAACGTATGTGGTGCTTTTGTAGATGCTGAGAATGTAGAAATATAGTTAAAACTTATCTTTTCAGGAGCATACTCATTAGATCACGGTATATGTTAACACTTCGAACATTTAATGCTATCATCTGAGGGCTCGCTCTGACTCTTCACTGTGTGAGAATATCTAGATAATGGACAGTAAGCATCTCGATATTTAAATACCGGTACGAAGAAGAGGGCAAAATTGGGATGTCTTATATAAATCTTGTCAGGAAATTACAGTGAAAAATCTGTCATTCTTCTCTTTCTCAAAAAAAGCGGTTTTCTCCAGCTCCCGATACAATACCTTATATTTTTGTACTTCTTGCCAAAAAAGTACCCCGTTTTCCAAAAAATCTCCTTTTAGAGCAACAAAACGTTGAAATTGCCTTGAAGTAACTGGATTCAATAATGCTTTACGAAAAGCAATAATTTCACAAGATGAGGATATCCACTTACTCTTCACAGGCTGTTCAAAACAGAGAATACAGAAAATCAACTGTGTTCTAAAAAGTGATAATAAAATCATTAATTAGGCTAAAATGACCAACTTTATCTCCTTTACTTTTGGCTATTGGAATTTGTAGTATGAACACAATAGAATTTGGCAATCCCCTTCCTCTCCATCTTTTCCCTTATGTCTCTTTTTTGTGTGTGGCAAAGATAAAAATAAAAATGATTTTTTAGAAGTTATAAAAAGAAATGACTAGATGATTTTCAATGTATGACCACATGATTTAAGAATGTTAACAGTCATTATAGTTTGGGAGGATGGTGAAAAACTACTTCTATGTAAATATGTGTGAGTTCTGTGCTGGAAAGGGAAAAAAGTAATCATAATGTTACATTTTATACATTATTATTTTTTTACTTTTTGAGAGGGGGTCTCCCTATAGCCCAGGCTGGCTGGAGCTCACACTGTAGCCCAAGATGGCTTCAAATTCATGATCCTCCTGCATTAGCCTCTAAGTCCTGGGATTACAGGCACGTGCCACCACACCCCCTAACTTTTAAAAAGTAAAAGCAGTTGAATTTTTAAGACAGTTTTTCAAGTTTTTTAGAAAACAAACAATTACTCCAATGTAATTTAAACAGAAAAATTATGATAGGACCTCACTGTAATTCTAGCTTGGAAAAATCATGTTTTCAGATAAAACATATTTAAATAATTTTAATAATAAATTATTAAATTTATTGTCATTATTGACTTATTATTAAATAATAACTTGTTAAATTATCAATTATAATTGATTAATTATTGTTGTGATGCTAGGGATTAAAGCCAGGCCTTGCACATTCTAGGCAAGTGCTCTACCATTGAGCAATAATTTTTTTTTTGGTTGTGGCACTGGGGTTTGAACTCATGGCCTCCCACTTGCTAGGCAGGCACTCTACCTCTTGAACCACACCTCTAACCTTTTTTGCATTCATTATTTTTGAGATCGGGTCTTACTTTATGCCTGGGCTTATCTGTACTGTGATCCTCCTATTCGTGCTTCCCTACATAGCTGGGATGACAGATGCATAACACCACACCCAGCCAGGTGGAGATGGGGTCTCTTGAACTATTTTTTGCCCAGGCTGGCCTGAAACTGTGATCCTCCTAGCTCCGCCTCCTGAGTAGCTAGGATTACTGGCTTGAGCCACTGCATCTGCCCCCTAGGAGTAATTGTTTTAAAATAATAAAATTCCTCTAAGGATTTACATTACATGTCATAAAATCCAGAAGTATCCATGATGTTTTAATAATACTTAAAGCTATTTTTATCTATACCTATTTAATATCTTCACAATTTTGAACTGTTTCATATTTTTATATTTTGTCCATTTAAAAATCAAATATTCAATCCCCTTTGCTCTATCAGATTCAAAAACATAAAACAAGGTTTTATTGAATTTAGCAAATAGATTTTAATTTTATTGAAGTTCCCCATGGTTGACACTATTGTGCATATAAGGAAGCATCACTCTAAATGCAACATTTTAGATGGCCTTACTTAAAAATTATCTTAATGAATAAATTGCATTAAAATATCCATTACTGACAATACATTAAATAAATTCCTTGAAATAAATCATATGTGACCATCAATGTAAGTGTTTAAGAGCACTATTTTAAAAGTGCTACAGCAACACAAAGGCAAGAGTTACAATTCAGCCCGCAAAAGGAAAGTCTTTACAGACAGGGCCTGAAGGATGACATCTGAGTTGGAACTGAAACGTGAAGGCGACTCCAGGCGGTCTAGGTGAGCAGCAGGGCCATGAGCCCAGACACCGTGCAGAGATGTCTATCGCTGTTTAGCGAGGCACATGCCACATTCTCTGGACAAAAACTTAAGACCCTTAACATCTGGTCCAAATTGAAATTACAGCCCTATAAATAGTAACAACTATGGATTAGCCTGGGATGTTTATTTAAAACCCACTCAACGAACAATGTTTTAAGACTTGCTTCTTAGGATAGTAAAACTTAGTAATTTAACTAAAACCTGCAATTTAACTAAATTGAGCATAATATAATATATAGTGCACAACAATATAAAATACAAGCGCATTCTTAATATTTCAATTAAATATATAACAAAAACATTTAAAAAGTTTACTTCCTTTCAAGTGGAAAATACAGAAAAGAGTATCCCACATCCTAGCAGATACATGCACTACTCTAACATTCAAATAAATTTTTATCTTTGGTTGTTAGTTTGCAGTGGATCACCTGGGTCTAGTCTGATGATCTCATGTGGGTTCAAGAAGACTGTGCTCATCATGCTTGTTGAGAATTAATATTAAGGTATTATATTATAGTGGCTTTAATAGTCACCAAAAATGATAGTTGTCATAACTCCTTGAAAGCTGAACTATAATTTCAAATAAAGGAGATCATGTAAGAGAATTTAGCCTGCTGATTCTGCTGCATATTACTCATTCTGTTTGTGTAGTCCCCTCTCAATGACAACTGCCATATGCTGATAAGAACAGCATGTCTCAATAAATCCATCACAAGCAGGGTAAGAACAAAAATGCTTCTCTCTATCTCTCTGTCTCTCTCTGTCTCTGTTTTTGGAGCTGGGGATACAACCGTAGCCTCATGCAGAGAAGTTCATACTCAAAGGCCAATCCCACGCTTCCACTGAGCAGATCAAGGAACCCTTAAAAACAGAGTCTTGGCCGAGTCACACTTTCCTCCAAGTTCCATCTGCCAAGGAGGAATACGATTGACAGTCAATGGTGGCTTAGAAAACCATGTCTGCAGGAAAGATCTCTGAACAAGAGGTGAAGGAAAAACAATACTTTGACAGAGTGGGATTTACTTACAAAAGGAAGAATATAGCAATTACTTGCCTTCCAGACCCCGATTTTCCTTTCATGCTTCTGTAGTAAACACTCATCTGTTATGCCTTTCATCTGTACCTAAGAGCAAAATCAGTTCTTTTATTCACTTATTCAGAATGTCCACAGTTTTGAATCCCATAGCTTAGGGAATGAGGTAAAAGTCAAGTCACATATGACAGTGCTGCTCAGGAAGTAAATAAAGACTGAGGAATGGAAGCCCTGCAGTAAGGGTTCTGGTGTGTTTACTCACTCTTGGGACCCGTTTCCGCATCTGCTACACAATAACACCCAATTGCATTGCCCCAAATGTACCTAACAGTTCCACTTGGGCTCACTTACATGAAGCTGGAGAGATAATTATGAGTTCTCAGATTTTTGTGTTATTTTCTTGCCAGTTGTGTTTGTTTGACTTTGTTTTGTGTGGTACTGCAGATTGAACCCAGGGCCTAACACTTGCTAGGCAAACACTCTACCACTCTAGCTGCGTATTTTTTCACAACTAATTTTTGAAGTGTCCAAAAGTAACTTTCAACATAGAGGGAGCTACAGAAGACACAGCCAGCCCTCTGTATTCATGGGTTCTCACTCTGTTCATTCAATCAAACTCAGATCAAAATTATTCAAATAAAAGCTGCATCTATACTGAACACATACAGACTTTTTCCTTGTCTTTATTCCCTAAATCGTACCATATAATAACTATTTACAGAACATTTATGTTGCATTATGATTTTACAAGTAATCTGGAGATGATTTAAAGTACATAGGAGGATAAGTATAGGGTACATGCAAATGTTATGACATGTTTATATGACAGACTTGAGCATCTTCAGATTTTTGGAATCCATGGTTAGCAAAGGACAACTGTATTTCTTGGGGGTTAGTGCCTGTATTTAATATCTTCCCTTCCTGGAGAACTGCGCCTGCAGTCTCTCTACCTCCCTGCCCATAGCAGATAGACCTATGAGCTATTCTAGAGAGTCAGGGACTGGGATCACCAGGACTGAGTCTTTTCTTGTTAGCAATTCTAGGGCTCATGCCTGCTAGGCAAGCTCTGTATCACTAAGCTACAGCCACAGCCCAGAGAAAAGAGCTGAGAGTTCTTGCTGGGTTCCCAGGGCTGTCCTGGCCATATCTTTAAAGTTTGGGTGTCAGCTCTTCCCCAAAGTGTGTGAGATGCCCCAGCACTATTTTATAATAAATTCTCACCCCTCCTTTTTGTCTTTGGCTTGAAGTTGCCAAAGTCAGTTTATTTTGCTGACCACCCAAAGAATGCTAAGTCAGGAAATGACTACAAGTTACAATAAATTTACTGTGGTAAACAGAATGAGAAAATGTGGTAAATAATATTAGTAAGCCAAATATCATTTTACTTGGCTTTGGATAGAGAATTGGAGTTTCCCTGAAGAAAAGGAATGAGCAGATTTGTGTTCTCCCAAAGCTTGTTACCAGGAACATTTTGTGTAAAACAAGTCAGCTCTTCTCTATATTATAAATTATGCATTCCCCAAAAAAGTTACTCAGCTAAAAAGACTAAAGGATATTTCCAGATAAGTAGGTCTCAAATTGAATACAATACAGAGAGAAGCTTTTCCAGGTTCTCCCTGATCAATACTAATGGTGTGTGTTTGTAAAGTCCAAAATTACACATTTTCTGACACTTCTGGTGTTTTTGTAAAGATCAGGCTCACCTGTTTTCAGGCATGCTAATGAAATTTAAATGATCAAAATAAGATTTGCTTCCTACAAAATAAAACAGAGTAACCACACAAACCTGCTTTACAAAGTAAAAAGTAAAAATTCTTCTTACTCTCCAAACCCATTTCCAGGTTACAGATCCTTTAGGATTTTTTTTCCACAAGCTTAAGCAAAAAGAAAGACAGATAGAAAGAAGGATGAATGGATGGACAGATAAATGGACAAATGGATGTGAGTAGATCTGCACATACAGATAAAAATGGAGATACAAGTGATATAATGAGATTATCACCCATATATTTTCCTGCTTATTTCACTCAATAAATAACATCCTTTATATTAGTATATGGTAAAAATCTCATTTTTATAATACTTTGTATGAAAATCTTCCATTTTACATAGAATGGAAGTATTGTAAGTCACATAAATATTCTTCCACATGATATTGCAAAGAATGTCCTTGTATATCCTTTCCCATTTGTGTGAGGAGTTATTAATGTTAAAAATACCAACTATATTAATTGATAATATTTGAGAACTTGCTGCATGCCAGGCACCATTCTAGGAAACTAAGCACACATTTCATTTCATTTTCACAACAACCTTATGAAGCAATTACTATTAGTCCCATTTTTCAAATGAGTAAGCTAAATTTATGAAACCTAAAAGTGGTACAGTTAATATGCGACAAATGTTTAAATTAAAATGTGAAAAGTTTAACTCCCTGCTTTTAACCACTAGCCACAGAAATATCATGGCTGAGTCAACAGGTATGCACACTTGAGGTTTTGATAGGTACTACTAATTGCTATCCAGAGATTATACTAATCGATGTACCTTTATCTTTTGACGTGCTGCAAATTGTTCACTTGCAAGAAACAATGGCAACCACACATTTTCTAGCCTGTTCAGGACATGCTTCTGAATTTCAACCAGAACAGGTGCATCAAGCTGCTCATGCAGAATCTTCCCCCAGCCACCACTTAAAAGCATTATCTAAGAAAATACAAATGAAGCAGAAACTACAGTTTGTGTCTTGTTAAAGAAACACTAATAGTCATTAACTCATTCACTCCAAACCATTTGCAGCATACCTGGCAGTGCCACAATTTTCATTTTCCATATGATATTTTCTGGCTATATTGTATATAAGAATTACAGACAGATATCTAGCGTCAACAAGGAACTGTTGTTATGGTAGTGGTTGTTCTAGGTGTGTGATTTTGCTTGTTATGAAATGCTGAAAACACAAGAGAGCTATTTTTTTTCTTGGCAGTGCTAGGGATCAAATCCAGTACCTCACACGTGGTAGGCAAGCACTCTACATTCCCAGCCCCAGGGCATTAATCTATTGGTTTCCTAAATTTTCTTCTAGTCCTATTATCCTATAAATCTATGATTCCAGTGAAATTTACCCATTTCACAAAGCATTTTCTTTTGTAGGTGAGGAAAATGAGGTATGACTCTGATAGCATAAATATACACATTAACAATAAATGTTAGGTTGGACGTGGTGGATGGTGACAGCAGCTATGTAGGGTTATTCCAACAACTTCTAAAAAGAAATCAGGCAGCAGGAAGTGGAGAAAGGTCAGATTTTACAGATGATAGGCAGGCTTGCATAGACAGCACATTTTAAAAACATAATTTCCTTGTGGCCCAAATCTTCCTTCTGCATAATTATTGGCCTCAGCAAGTGACCGACTGATTTTTCCTGCTGTAAATTATTCTGTTTTCTACCTGTTTCTGTATATATCTTGTTCATAATTTCTGGATTGCTCACTGGAACAATTGCCCTCTTTATTTAGTTCACTTTTGATTAATAATATTAAGAAAATGCTAACTTAATAATATTAATACTAACTAAAAACAAAGGAGAAATCCTTTTTCAGTCCTCTTTAATAATATTAATCAAGTAAAAAATACTCTAATACTGCTTTTGCATAAAATAAAAAAGCAAACTGGCTGTACAACTGAAATTAGGAATGGTAGGATCTTCATAAAATTTCATGTGATCAAATATCCTCAAGTAAAAAAATAAGAAAATAAAAAAGGAATGGCAATGTTAAAGAAGAGGCAGCGGGAAAACTGCAGTAAGCACAACCATTTGCTATGATGGCGATGGTGACTTTTCCCACTGACTTCTAAATTCTCAGCGTGCCGTATGTACTACGGAGGGTTCACACAGTAGCATCAGATACCATGAAACCCCATGCAATGTAGCACAAGCCAAACAGAAAACAAATGCTTCCCATGTGTTTACTTCATACTTGTGCTTACTGAGGTACCCAGCCACTTTTGCTAATATGTCCCAGATTTACAGCTCAGGGAACTAACGGGAAGGCATTTTTGTCAAAGTTTTTTAGTTGTAGAATTGCTTCTCCCTCTTGCTCCCATAGACTTCTGTTTATCCCACCTCCACTAAAATATAACTTACTAGTTTGATTCGCTCTGCTCATGAATATCTATGAATTTTTAATTTCCTGAACTTAGCATTAATCTGAAATTCATGTTTTGTAAATGTGTATACCATTAGGGTATACAACTTTTTAAAATCACATACTATAAATTTGATCTTTAGGCAGTAACAGACTTCAAACTAAATAAATTATAGTATATAACACTACATTGCAAAGGCATAAAAACTGAGGCATACTTCATGAGATGGAAGTGTTACAAGAACACTCAAACCCACTGCTGAATCCCAATCTGATTTTTTAGATGTAAATCTTGTGACACTATTGTAATTAATAAATTAAGATCAAAGCCAAAGCCAAAGGACCCGAGTACAACAAATTTTCAGACTTATGTTCCTCCTTAATGAAAATGTTTTTTGGGGTTAATATAACTGTGAACAGGAATTTCAAAGACTCATTATGTTTGGAGTAATAACTGTTAAAAGAAGAAGAGGAAAGAGGCAGAAATTAGGTTTACTGGTTGGTTATGGCTGGTTTCTTACTTGCTATAAGGTGCAGGGACCTTGTCCATTCCATTTACCACTTTGTCCTAAGCACCTAGAACAGTGCCTGGCACATCAAAGTCACTTGTATTTGTTGAATGAATAAATGACTAATTTAAGGACAATAGGTATAAAGCTATGATCTACCCCCACAATTTCTGAGCACTGTCATAAATACAGACCTAGATGAATAAAAGTTATTTTATCTCATAAATTACTTAAAAATAACATATTTTATAATATATAATACTCAAGTATATGTTAAAGACATTTAACTTATAGATACTTGTGAATACCTAGATATCAAAAGTATGTAGCATATAAATCATAAAAGCAAAGCCAAAAAAAAGGAGATGTTCAGGTTGTTGGCAAAAAGAAATAAATGATGGTTTTTCATATTTAAAGACAGAAAATAGGTTCACATATTGATACCTGATTCTGCTGATGTGTAGAAGCTGGACTGTTGGGTCCAAAGAAATATTTTTTATTAAGGTATTTGTTTTTAATGTATATAGATTTTGCCTCCATTTGATTTCGATCTCTGAAAATTATTCTTCGAAACTGCTCAATGTCTATCCAGCACATAAGGTCAATGCTAAAACGAAAACAAAGAGAAAATACAGTCCTTCTTATTTCTCTAAATTCTACTAAACAAGTTGTTGTTTTTGACAGAACTCAGAAAGTGGCTATCTATTAGTTAGCATGTCTGGATAGATCAAAGAACTCAGGAGTAGAGTGTTGCCTCTGATTCCATCCTAGGTCAGCTAGCTCAACTCTACTACAATCCTAATTCTGGCTAAATAATCACAAGGAACTGGTATCAGAAAAAAAAAATCTATTATCATTATCGGTTGCATCTCAGAGTTCCTCCATTAACGATGAAGTAATGTCATCAATTTCAAATATGGGAAAACTTCCACATGTGGTATGTCCATTTGACAATAAGCCAAATTTAGAATAATTCTAATCACAATCAAGAGAAACCACACAGAGTGAATTTTGACTCCCAGTTTCTGTTAACTTGGGAGAAAAAAGTATGACTAATACTTGAGTTTTTAATTAGATAAATATGATATAAGATTCTGAGATTATGTATAAAGCTACAATGTGTTTTATAAATATATATACATTGATAAAATTATAAAATATCACAATAATTTTAGTTGCTTAATGAAATAAATGAGACACTTTCAGAAATAAAGTACTTATTAATAATTAATAATTAATAATGGGAAGCAGGGAAATAGCAGGAAAAGGGAAAAATAAAGCATATTGGTGTTTAAGTTAGCCAATGCTAAGAATATCAATAAATATTGTGTAACCATTTAAAATAACATTATGGAGGTTGTTACCATAAAATGCACTCCAACAAGAAGTAATTCATGCAGATTTCAGATAATTATGCTCACCAGTTTTTATAGACATGGCTAAAAAATATCTAGCACCAAATCATGATTATAATATGCTGAATCAAAATCAGTACCTAAATAAAATATCAAAAGAAAAATGATATTTTAAGTGAGAAATACATTTAAAAATAGTTATGTTCCTCACCTTGAAGAATGAGCTTCAAGAAACTGACGGAAATGTTCAAACTCCAGTTTGTTGTTAAGCAGATCATTAAAAGTGAAGTGCTTGTATTCTTCTGGAACATTACTCCAATATTCTGTTTGTTTAGAGACATCGGAGAGGGACAACATACCAGTTCCAGCTTCACCAGTTGTATCCTAGTGACATAAATACTTCTCATAAAATCTCTTAAATGCAACAAATTCTTTACAGTCTTACATAGAGAAACTGAAAGAAAAATTAACTACTAGGCCAGGGTTGTTTAGCAATTCAATGGTAGAGGATAAAGAATCTAGGTGGTTCAGATTCTAACTCATATCAACTTCCTTTTTATTCCTTTCCACTCCATTATCTTCTTTTTACCAACATTAAGCAAAATTTACTATATACAAGGCATTTGTCTTAAAATATTGTTTTTTATTTCTTAGTAAAGGAGTAATATGTCTTGTAACAAAAAGGAAGAAATTAAAAAGTATATGTAATACTACCATTCAGAGATAAATACCATTAATATTATATAAATATCTTTCTAGTCTTTTTTGTGTGTATACATGCAGTTTATTAAAAATAAAGATAGGATTGTGCACCTTTGTATGGTTTTTGTAACTGAGTTCTTTTCCTTAACAATACATCATGAACATAAAACAGTTTCTGTAACATAATTTTAATAGTTAAAATTAATGTCTAGTAGTTCATCCTTCTAATGTAATCCCCTTTATATAAAGTTAAATTTCAGGTAATTTTAAGACCTCTGATGTTTTGTGGGCAGTTTACAAGGTTCTAAAGCAGTAGAGAGGTTTACTCTTTGAAAACTCCTTCCTCTTATAATTCCTTATGTAATTAATTCACCTCCCTATTTTTTTTGAAAAGTGTCTGACCATGAGATATTTTAAAAATTCTCCTTATGTAAAATGATTACGGAGAGTGATATAAATTATAGTTCCTAAAGTTTAAATACAGCTTTATTTACTCCCTTATGAATTTTATGTATCCTTTCCAAGATATTAATTAATAGTATACCAAATAGAGAACTTCTGGGTTAACCAAACAACTATTGTGAAGGTTGTTCTGTTTTTATAAAAGATTATTGTATAAGGATAAAAAGTTCAGATAGGCACAAAGAAGAAAGTTAAAAAAAAAATCCTCTGAAATCCCACTACCCAGAACTATCTTTAACATTTCAGTGACTATCTTTCTGTTGTTAAATGTGTCAATATAAATGTGACACCTGACAAACATAGCATGCTAGGCAAAGGAACAGCAGTAAAATGACACTGCCTATCCTCTATTTTATCAATACAAGATCTCCTCACCACCAAAACAAAATAGTAGCCTTCTCTAATATGAAAAGTCTGTTTTTCTAAGTAGAAAATTGTCTTACCTTATCTTTCTTGGAAAATGTCTCTTTATGCAAAGCCTGTAGCTTTCTGAAATATGTGGAGTCTAGTTGCCGAGTTTCCTCCACCAGTTCCACCTAAACAAATAATAATAAAGCTTGTACTATCAATAGAATGCAAAAAGTGGGGAACAAAATGCACAATTTAGTAGTAATAGTGGGGTTTGGCCAATAAAGCAAAAATTTTTGGAGGCAAAAGCAGGAAAACCAACATAGTTAAAAATATTGGCTACAGGAAACCCAATTGAATGCTTTTGAAGTACTGTATACTTAAAAAAGTATACAATAAAAAATGCATACATTTCTATGTAATGATTATAATGCACCAATGACTGCTCCTCCTTTTTAGTCACTCCATGTAAACTAACAAGCAGTGAAATATGTTGGTCACATTTTTTGTTTCTATTCAGTATAACAGGATGACAGACATGAAGGCAATCACTGCTAGCTTTATGAACCAAATGATTCACAGAACTAGAAAAGACTCCATGGTGCTATTAGTCTACCAGCAAAGGCTTTGTTCTGCAGCAAAAGAGAAGACAGCAAACTATCAAGTTAATCCTCACAGCAGATCTCAATCTTCAGAGCACGTAATGTACTATTTGCTACAGTCAGGAAGGCAAGACCACTCTCCAATTTCCCACTGCAGGGATAATTCAGTTTGGCTGACTAGCTGTGTCAGAACTTTCTGTATAATACCAGCTTTGCTAGTCTGCTTGAATACAGTCAGATAGGCTTTTAGAGAGTCCCCTGTGATGAATTTAAGGAAGTTTCTAGAACTAAGAAAGATGTGTTTTTCCTTTTATTATAAATAGTATATAACATGTCTCACATACTTTATAAGAATTGTTGCTAGTGCCAAAACTTATTAAGTTAGCTATAATTCCATGCTTTTTTTTTTTTTTTTTACAATTGCAGGATCCTATACACTTTATATTTTCTCTATGTAACATAGTGTATAATACAGCATGTATTTTTTAAATGAATAGAAAAATGAAGCTTCAAAAATTTTCATATGAAACCCTAATTTTCCTAGTGTAAAATATACATATTGATGGTAGAAAGGCAGCTCTGCTAATATTTCAGAACAAAGAGAATTCAGGAATAAAAATCTAATTATTTTGGTCTCTGAATTTAGTAAGTCAGAGAGCTGTTTCAGTCACAATCCAGTGAGGTAACTCTATCCAAGGTGTTTTGGTGCTTGCTAACTTTATCTTAATCATCTAACTTAGCCTTCCTGGAAGAAGACAAGATTTCCTAACAAGTAGCTCAGGGGAGATGAATAAAGAGAGCAATTCGGCAGAAGGAATGGCTCAAGCAGAAGAGCACCTGGCAAACAAGGCCCTAAGTTCAAACCCCGACACCATTTAAAAAAAAAAAAAAAAAAAAGGAGTAGCAGTACAAATACAGAGACAGCGGAATGACTAGGGGATATGCATTAACACAAAAATATATAAGAACAGTTTTAATCTGTTATTCAAACTAAATAGTTAAAGAAATTTCCTCTACTCATTATTAAGAATAATGAAAATACTCAAGCACCGAGGCTGAAAATGAGCCCTTCTGGAATGGAAAAAATAATGTATTGAAACTTTTATTCAAGCAAGCAGTCTAACCTGATGAATATCTGGGGGTGCTTTAAAACAGAAGTACTGAAGCCAGAGGATCTGATTTTCACTGTACATAGGAAATGTTTATATTTTCCATGGGTGTAAGACTTACTGTAACATATCCAGCATAAAATGAAACGGGCTTTTTCCATTAATCAAAATTAAGACAACTGTTGAGAAATGACAGGAAGGGACAAAGCCAGTTTATTATCATGGCATATTTTTCTGGTTCACAGAAAATCAAAACTCAGATTCCTCTCTTCTGACATATTTGTACAGAGAACCAAAAATGACAGAGATTTGAATGTTTTTGTTAGGAGACAATAGGGAAACTAGCAAAAAAATAAAGTTAATAAACATTTTCCCTGCCCAAGTTTTGAGCCTGTCCAAATCTGAACTCCAAAGCCCTGGCTCATGTGAAATCTTTTTCAGCTTTTCTCCTGTGAGTTAACAGCATTGCTTATGCTCAGTGTGCAGCAAAGAGAGAAGGCTTCTAGGATTTATCACTGCCATGCTACCTTTCTATAAGTAATTTGGTCTGACTTCACCATTTTTGTCCAGGGCTCCAGAAGGATGAGAAGAATATACTCTTCTGCTGTGTCAAAAAGGTCTTCGAATGGTGGTTGTATTTTCATATAGATTTCTTTCTTCTTTTCTTGTTGGAGTCCAATATCAAGAGTGGCCGATGGAGCAACATATGTGGCAAAAAGATACTAAGAGAGGAAGTGGAGGAACACAGGAGATTGGGAGAAACCAAAAAAGTTAGCAGACTCCTCAACAAAATTCCAAAATGAAGTGAGATGAGGCAAATAAGTGCAAGTGAGGTTTTTTTATTTCTTAAAAAGATGGATAAACTACATAAGACAAAGCAATATATTTTCTTACAAAGCTGTTTTTTCTTTTTTTGTTGGTAATTAGCAAGTAGTCAATTTTTTGCAGATGACAAAATTCTGTGGCTCTCCTAGGTATTATTATGATTGATTTGAAATTAAAAACATCCTTTATTCTCTTATGTTCACCTAAATTCTAACACATCCTCTTTTACTTTCCAAAGTGGTCTGAAATACCCTTTTGGAAACAACAACAAGGAACACACTAGAGCTGAAAATCTGGCTATTACTCTTCTAGTCTAGACACAAGTGCCCTAAGTGAGGTGCAGTTCTAAGACTGTGGCTAGTTATCCCTTTCTACCGTAAAGTGTCTGCATCCAGTGTCCCATGCTGTAGAAGGGATGCAGGAAGATGATAAAAGTAAATGGGAAGATATACACAGAACTCCCAGAAAACTAACCACAAATGTCTGCTCATCTGTCATGTCACCCAATGACAGCTATTTTTATCTCAGAAGCAATTTAACCCATTTTTATTTATTTATTTTATTTTTGGTAGTTGGGATTTAAACTCAGGGCTTCAGACTTGCTAGGCTTACACTCCATTGCTTGAGCCCTTTTGCTCTGGTTATTTTGGAGACAGGGTCTCACTTTTTGCCCACGCAGGCCTAGATTATGACCCTCCTATTTTACACTTCCCGCTGTAGTGGGATGGCATGGAGGGAATCACCATGCCCAGCTATTGGCTGACATGGAGTCTCATGAACTTTTTGCCTAGGCTGGCTTCAAACTACAATCTTCCCAATCTCAGCCTCCCAAGTAGGATTATAGGTATAAATCAAAGATGCTTGGCTTAACAAAATTATATTTTTTAAAGTATTACACACTAGATATGTCATGCCATGAACATCAGATTTAAAAGTAGTTTTAGTAAGAATTTTTAATTGTTTTTTATTTCATATACTTAGACTTTGGTTCTGATAATATCTAGATTCAACTCAATATCTAGTCTCTTAAATTGAGAGACATTACGTATCTATTCTCAATATCAAGTAATAGTTCTATTTAAAATAATCTTTAAATTTTTAAGGGGTCTACATTAATAACATAAGTATTTAATTTACTGAGTACTATATCTTAGACAGCTGGCTAGATGCTATGTGAATAGCAGCCAAAGCCTGCTCTGAAGGAGTCCATTTGTTAGTGACATGGAGGTGAAAGGCAAATGGTGTAGGTGCATGTGATGCACCTTAGGGCTTCAGTGATCGCCTGTACTTTTAAGTTCATGTCCCATTAACCACCTTTCAAACTTTACACTCGAAGATCATATTGTCTCTAATGTCCTTAAATCTTGTTGCAATGCTATTCTGTACCATTGCATATACTGTTTCTTCAATCTTGGATATTTACTCTACCCCATACACTTTGTCTGCTTGATAAACTCTGATTAAACAACAAAAACAAAATCTGGGCATGGTGGTATGTGCCTATAGTTCCAGATACTTGGGTGGCTAAAGTGAGAGGATTGGAAATTTGAGCCAGTCTGGGGAACTTAGCAAGACTCCAATCTCAAAAAAATATAAATAGATAGATAAAAAAACAACATGGATTTCTCCTTCTTTAGGGAGCTGTCCTCTTCTCCCAAGATAATATGTTCTACATGTCAAACTATGATACAATATGGCTGTGTCTTCTCTTCTGGACTGAGGTCCTTGAGGTCAAAGATGGTAACTTATTAATCTGTGAACCTCCAACTGTTCTTGACAGAATAGATTCCACAAACATTTATTGAATTGTACTGAATCCACAGAGAACACTCATTCTTGAGAGTCAAGGAGAGCAGAGATCAGCAGGCTCAGACTTACATCAGAGATCAAATGGGATGAAGCTCAAGGAGAGAAGCTACTGAATTGACAGCTGTGTGGTTCTTAGTGATCTTGGAGATCAGTTCTATTGACATAGTTGCCACATTGCTGTTGATTGAGGAGTTGATCAACATCTTTATCAAGCCTCAATTCTGGGCCATTCTATTCATTCATTTTTTAAACTCTTGTCCTCAAGGTCCCCCAATAAATTATGATGATTGATTCCATTATAAAGAGACTTTAAAAAAACACCTCAGCTGCAAGAGTGTGGAGCATGTTAAGGTTTTACTTATTTCTAATCAACTCCATTTCCATATTTCTAAATATTGCCCTCTTCTTTAAGGCTTGCCACACTACCTTTATGCTTCCTCTTTTTCAGTAGACTGTATCTCCTATCTTACTGGGAAAAACTATTGGCATGAATGCCCTTGACTTTCCTCTTTACTCTTCTAAATTTTTTGATTTCCCTATGTCTCAAAGGCAGGTGTCTTTCCAAGCCTAAACCATGCACATATGCTCTCACTGCATTCCTCTTGGGCAGTCAACATTGATTATTCCCTCAGTGCCTTTTTCCTTTTCTCTACCTTTTCATTGTTTCAATATGCTGAAAAGCTGTGCAAGAGAAGTGCTAGCACCTCACATTCTCAAATATTTTTTCTTACTTTTGAGTTTTTCCCTCAAACTATTACCCTGATTCTCTTCTCTGAAATTTTCACGATCACTCCTCAATCAATAGCAATGTGGTAACCATGTCAATGGAGCTGATCTCCAAGATCACTAAGAACCACACAGCTGTCAATTCAGTAGCTTTTCTCCTTGAGCTTCATCCTATTTGATCTCTGATGTAGGTCTGATCCTGCTGATCTGTGCTTTCCTTGACTCTCTCCCCTATTTTTATCCTTCTCAGGCTCCTTTGCTGACTCCTTTTCCTCTATTAAAAGAAGACATTCAGGGGCTGGGGATGTAGCTCAATGGCAGAGCAATTGCCTAGCATATGTGAGGCCCTGAGTAAAGTTCCATGCTCAACTATATTCTCTCGGTTCTCAGTTCATATTCCTACAGTTTCTTACAAGTGCCAAGCGTCGCACAGCACTTTGTTCTATGCACTCGAGGCCCTCTATCCTTATCCTGGTTTCATTGAGTTTCTATCCATCCTGGAGGACTCAGCTTCTTGACTTCTGAAGTCTATCTTAGGTATCCTTCCTATATGCTCCCATGGACCTTTTACTTTTAAGCCCTATGAAGGCAGAGATTGGATCTATCTTGTCCATTACTGCTTCCCTAATATCCAGCATAATGCTAAATGTAGAGTTAATGAATCAATGAGTGAATGACTTCATCCATTCCCAAAGATTCAATGGTCAATTACTTGTAGAAGAAACTCCAACATATCTAGCTTTAGACCTGATTTTTTCCCCCGGAAATTCAAAACCTCCTATAGACCTCCAAGGAATCAATAATATTGCTAATTGATAACCAGTAATGTAACCTCTCAAGTTTCTTCTTCCCACCGTGTTTCAGGTTTTCATTAGTGACACACCATTCAGAACACAATCTTTGACTCTTCCTCACCCTTCCCTTTTTCCCCTTAAAGGCAAATCTTATGAATTTAATCTCTACGATGGAACAAACAGAAACAGGAACAAATATAAAACTATTAGGAAGAAACAAGTGGCACCAGCTCCATTCCAACAAGAATCTCACACAACCCAGGTATCTAACCAAGCTAGGCTAGACCTTTCCCCCTGGCTATTGCCAGCTGCCTTCTTTCCTGACCCCATACCTTTCTTTTGCTCCATGTAGCCAAAGAGGTCCATGTATAATATTTAAATGAATAATGCATACACTCAAGGCACTATAATTAGGGTGGTCTTGGGTTCCCAATCTAGCTTAAGCCTGCTGTCTTGGCATGATTATTAACTGTTCCACTTTCACTCTTAAAAGCATCACATACAGACAAAAATTTGATGGTTTGTCTATAACTGCTACCAGTTAGATTAATGATAAGGCTCTTAGAAATGCTCAAGGATAAAGCTGAGGGTAAAGGAAAGAAAGGCAGTGTAGGCTTCTTGCTGAGAAACAGACATTTGTCTAATTTTCAATCCTATGAAATGAAAAGTTGTTCCCAAAAGCTAGAATGTCAAATGAGGAAGGTGAGTTGAAGCTTCACAGACTTCTCTATTAGAAATAAATACACCGGTGCCAGGTAAGATGGCATGCATCTGCAATCCTGCTACTTGGGAGGTTAAGAAAGGAGGATTACATGAGTTCAAGGCCTGTCTGGGCTACATAGCAAGACACTGTCTCAAAAAATAAAATAGAATAAAATAAAATGCACTAAATGATTGCACCTAGATGAGTAAATTTATTTGCCCTCCCACTTTATTTATTTAGCTTCCCTGCAGTTAGTATATCAGAATATTATCATTATCACCTAAGTAACTTCTCTTTGCTCACATTATCAATCCCCACTATGATAACCAGTACAGTCCTTAAGAGTAGTTTATTCACTCACTTCTCTGATTCTTTATCTGTGTTATTATAAAAGCACAGAACTGGAGGTGTCAGGAAGGGGCTGAAGAGGTCATTGATCCCCTGGCTTCCAAGCCCACACTGCACACATTTACTCTCCCCCCCAGGGGCCAAGTCTCTACTCTTCTTCATCTCCCCAGGGCAGTGGGGACAAAGGCAGGTAAAGGCATTAGGATAAGAAAGCAGAACTCAGTTGTCAATTCTTTGTCAGACCACACAGTAAATTTATAACATGTTCAATTGACTTATGGCATTAAAATCTGAATGTTTTTCTAATAATCAAGAAACAATCTGTAAGTAGACAACTGACTATAAGTAGCAAACACAAGAGATGTACCGTGTGTATGTGTAAATTAAAAAACTAAACACTACTTTTAAAATCTTAAAATCTTTATAAAGATGATGAAAATGATTTTTAAGTTGATGTAAGCTGATTTTATGATGGAATATAAAGATTAGATCATATAATGTCTGAATAATATAGTAT